GATTCCACTACAATATTTCCTTGATTCTAAGATATAGTTTCATATTTTAACATTTTTGAAATGATAGTGCATCTTGATCAAATTACATTATTATAGTGATACTTAAAAAATTTTTTTTTATTAAATTGAAAACATATCTTAAAGTCGCCACAGCATCTTAAAATTGAAGAAACCTAGTGTATTTTAACGCATTTAAGATACTGAGAAAGGGGGACCGGGATGGGGAATACATGTAAATCCATGGCTAATTCATTTCATTGTATGACAAAAACCACTGCAATGATGTGAAGTAATTAGCCTCCAACTAATAAAAATAAATGGGAAAAAAAAAAGTGAAAGTGGACAGTAAAAAAAAAAAAGATACTGAGAAAGAAATGCTCGGCAGTTATAATATATACTGTAAGATCATTCCACTGTCTCATGTTAAAAGATGGAAAATGTACATCTTAGAGTCAACCAAGATTTTATATTAGAGATTAGGTTTAACAAGAAAATTGTGGATTTCATGGATTTAAGGTGTGTGTCTTGCCTTTTTAAGAAGAGCCATAGTGGCACAACAGATTGAAAAAGATTTTTAAATAAACACAAGTGAAGAAAAATTTTTATTTTTGATCACTTGTTAAAAAATGGTAAAAAGAATAAACATGGCATTTTAAATCTTGAAATAATTAACAAAGAAAACAAATCTGTTCTTCATACTAGAACAGGAAATAACAGAGGGGTAAGTTAAATATCTCTGTTGTATACTTATTCCATTAGTTACTTTTTGTTTATATAGTATGTATTTTCCTAATCTCTAAATACATTGATCTTTTTTTGAGATAGTCATCATCTTTGTTTATTAGATTCTAGAATTTTTCTGTCCTGAGTAAATTGCCAAACTGCTAGGATTTTTGTTTTGTTTTAATAACTGGGGAAATGATATTTCTTTTCTGTGGCCTTGGGAAATAATTAAAGTAACCCCAAATTTAGAGCTACACTTGAAATAAGGTAATTTTGTTTTACAAGTTAATATGCATTGGCAGCAGTTATAATTATACTGCTCACCTTGGGGAAAATTAATATATTTCTGTTTTTTTCAGAGGTCACTTTGCTTCCTTCTGAATCCTAAATGAAAGATAGTTATATGCTCTATGGTGTCTTTGTTTTTATGCTATTCGTCAGTCAGTGCTTATAAAACATTTATGAAAGGAAGAATATTACATTAAATACTGTTCTTTTCCTATAATATCAACTAATGTTTCAGATCTTTTTGGGTTTTGTGGTGCTATTCTAGTTTGCTTTTGTTACCTCCTATTTTCTAATTTTTTTTAGTTGAAGTATAGTTGATTTACAGTATTTGTTTCAGATGTATGTTTTCTGATCTTTTTACCAGCTTTTAATTAAAATGGTCAGTTAAGACTCATTTATAAGTCTTTTTTCTTGTCTTTTACCTCTTTATTTGGGATTCATCTGCAGTGGTTTCAGCTATCTTTGTGTGAGATTTCCGGAACCTTATCTTTAGTTGTAACATTATAGTTGCCTACGGAAAATGACCAGTCAGCTGTCCCAATACCAGGTCTCTCCCAAAATGGATGCTCTTTTTCCTTTTAAATTTATTTCTCATTACTGTCTGATTTTCCTGATCAAAACATGGGAGATTTTATTCCTCTCAGCTTTGCTTACATACCTGATCTGTCTTCAGAAGTAGTTTGCTAATGGTTTATTCATTCCAGGCTTTGTGCCTTTGTTTCATCAGCATTAACTTAGCATTCCTGTCCTTTCTTCTTTTAAAGCCTAGGATCACATTAAGTCTTCCTTGGTTGACCTTACCTGGTTATTTATTTATAGCAAATTACTCAGTCGAGTGTATACTCATACTAATCAGTACTCATTCCATTGCATTTCTAGATTATTAAAAGATTTCTAAATTGAGTATTTAGCTAGATTTAGTGCAGCGATATCCTAGAATAATGAAATAATTTAGAAAGTACCCTGGAGGTTATTACAGCAGTGTGCTGTGTGCTAAGTCACTTCAGTCATGTCCTACTCTGTGCAGCACTCTGGACTGTAGCCTTCCAGGCTCCTCTGTCCATGGGATCCTCCAAACAGGAATGCTGGAGTGGGTTGTCATGCCCTCCTCCAGGAAATCTTCCCAACCCAGGGACTGAGCCTGCTGCTGATGTGCCTGCTGCATTGCAAGCGGATTCTTTACCATTGAGCCTCCTGACTTTAATTTTTTACTTTGTAAATAAACATTTATATATATATATAATATTTATATATACATAAATTTATTTATATATATAGCACTGTATAAGTTTAAGATGTACAGAGTAATGATTTGACTTAAAATAGGAAATCATTACCACAGTGGGTTTAAGTTCCATTATTCAACTCAGAAATTATCAGAGAGTTATAGAGTCCACAGATCGAAAGAGTATTTTTCTACAAAGTTGTGTTAGAGGGTGCCTCACATTAAATAGTTTTAACAACAAAGAAATCCCCAATTTTTATTCCTCAGAGTTCATTTTGAAGTTTTTGGGTGGGTTTTGTTTTTTTTTTTTTTTCTACTTGATAATATCTGTTGACTTTCGGACACAACTGAGTGACTGAACTGACTGACTTTCTCCTATGACAGATGACAATTTAGTCAGCTTTATATTCCTTCATCACACACACAAAGACATACTTTCTTTTTTCTTCCTCCAATAACATGATAAAAGTTTCTTTTTTCCTCACACAAAGTTCAGTACTATTGTTTATGGCAATGTGGTTCTCAAATGCGGTCCAGGTTTACCAGAAGGATTCCCAAGACTCAGGGAGTCTGTATGATCTAAAATACTTTCATTGCTGTACTAAGGTATTGTTTGCATTTCCTACTCCCGTTCTTTCACAAAGGTCCAGTGGAGTTTTCCAGTAGTCCTGTGACATGTGATGGTGTCATCATACAGCTAATGACATGTGCACTTGTATATTGTGTTTTCTAGAATTTTCTTAGGTAAGAATACCTCAGTAGATTAATGCAAAAGAAGCAGATATGAAAATTCACTTATTTCTATTAAACTACTAGACCTAAACTAGATTAAAGAGATTTGTAAATGTACTCATTAAATGTTTTGTTTTAGAAACATTTATATCAGTACGTATTGGGTTTATTACTATTTTTCAGTAGACACTGAACAAATGTTTATAACTTATTCAGTTAGAAATAGATTCCACTGTATTTTAAAATATGATTTATTAGAATTACTCTATCAATAAAGTATCAGTACTTTTTTATGTTTTCATCTGCTTTGAAATGGAAAAGAACTGTTTATCGTCATACCTTTCATCTGGCATACTATTATATAGGGAGTGGATGGTATTTAGTATTAGAGTATCAGAACCTTTATCAGCTCAGCCCAGTTTACCAGAATTTTTATTTGTATAATCTCAGGAGAAAGCAACTTTTGCATTTCATCAGTATTTGGTTTTAGCAAGTATTTTTCAAGCATTTGTGTTTGGGTGCTGTGAGAGATAGAAAGAAGCGTTAAGACAGCCCTTGCCTAATCAACTTAGCCTTGGTGTAGGTTTATCTCAATTTTATCTCAGCATTGTGCTTTCAACATCCATACCTATACAGTGAGAATTAAGGTCCAGGCTGATACATCTGAGTCAATGCAAAATACTCAGGAAACAAACAGCAAACATATTTTGTATAGTAGGTTTCATTAAGATAAGAAAGATACTGGTATATTTCAGAAATATAAAAGCTAAGTATATAAAGCAAAGTTTTCAAATTAGTGGTAAAGTTAAACATAATTGTTAACAAAATTTTTTAAACAATTTTTATATAGTGATTTATAGTTTACCATGATTTAATGTCTGTTTCTTTTAATCCTAATGATATCCCTGTGTATGAGGTACTATCCAAATTTTACAGATGTCTGATTCAGGCTTTCAAAAAGAAACTGACTTGCCCAAGGACATAAAATGGCTGGACTCAAATTTAGGTGTTCTGACTTCAGATCCTATGCTTTTACTGTATAAAGATGCCGTTTTTAAAGTTAAGTTTCTGCTATCCATGTTAAAATATTTTGAAAGATATGACAATATCTAGTATAGGCTTTGACCATTATAAACTGTCATACTTCATCCAAGTCACTAGAAGAAATGATTTAAAACTTTCATTCTGGTAATGATAAAAACTTTGTGAGAGGTTAGACTCAAGTTTGAATATGTATTTTTGGCCAGAGGAGAATTTTCTTGTTTTAGACCATTAAAAGCCTTCAAATATTTTGTTTTAATGGTCTTTGGAATTATAGACTTTGACCATAATAGTGGGGATACATTCAGAACATTCAGCAGATGTCTAAAGTAAAGAAGTCAGGTGGGACTCTGAACTTCCACTGCATGAGCCATGAGTCTGACCCCTGGTCAGGGAACTAAGATCTTGCAAGCCATGTCACACAGCCAAAAAAAAGTCAAATATATAAATAAACGAGAAAACATATATATTCTTTTTTTAAAAAAGAGTAAATTATTCCTTGCTTACATATAATCATTTTTAAATGTAGTATTGAAGGTTACAGTGAGGAATTCACATGTACTGATTCAAAGATTCAGATAGCAAACTGGAGAACAATTCTAGCACAGAGAACTTTGAACCGTCAGTTAATGAGTCTAAGTTAATTGTTATCAATTTGGTTTTTTTTAATTAATTTTTATATACTTTTTTGGCTGCACCATACAGCATCTGAGACCTTAGTTCCCTGACCAAGGGTTGAACCCACACACCTCACATTGGAAGCATAGATGGAGTCTTAACAACTGGGTTACCAGGGAAGTCCCTTTATTGATTTTTATTGGAGTGGAGTTGCTTAGCAATGTTGTATTAGTTTCTGCTACACAGCAAAGTGAATTAGTTATGTTACATACATACATATCCCCTAATTAGACCTCCTCTCTATTTAGGTTACCACAGACATTTTCTGAAGTTTTTACTTTTTAAAATTCTTTCTCATTCTGTCTTCCCATAGGTTTGTAAAAGAATGGACTTGGTCTGCCAGAGAATGTTGAATCAGGGATTTCTAAAGGTGGAAAGGTACCATAATCTATGTCAGAAACAAGTTAAAGCACAACTCCCAAGGTATGTTACGGTTAGCAGTGGCAGTAATTCTACAACTGGGGATTTATTTGTTTCTTGATTATTATTATTATTTTTTTTAATCAAAGTAAGGGTCTACATGTTAAATCGTTTCCAAGTTTTTGTAGCAAAGTATACACAGATCACAATAAATGATTTTACTATGGTTTCTTCACTCTCGCCATATCTACTCAACATTTTAGTTTGAGCCAGGGCATTTAGGCAAGAAAACGAAATTAAAGGCATCCAGATTGAAAGGAAAAAATAAAACTCTATTCACAGATAACATGATCTTGTATACACATGATATTGTATATAAAATACACTGATTAGTTATCAGAGCTGAAAACAAGTTCAGCAAGGATACTAGATAAAAGAGTATACAAAAATCAATTGTATAATGCTATGCATTAGCGATAAACAATCCAAAAATGGAGACAGTTCCATTTATAGTAGCATTGATAGTAATGTATAACAAAAGAAGTACAAAACTTGTTTATTAGAAACCAGAAAGACATTAAAAGACATTAAAGACTTAAATAAATGGAAAGGCATTCTGTGATCATAAATTGGAAGATTTCATTTTAAGATGTCCAGGGATTGAATCTGCGTCTCGTGTGTCTCCTGCATTGCAGGCAAATTCTTTACCCACTGAGTCATCTGGGAAGCCCGTTAAAATGGCAGTAGTCCCCAAACTGACACGTATCTATTCAGTGCAAACCCCTGGGCTTCCCAGGTGGCACTAGTGGTAAAGAACCTGGCTATCAGTGCAGGAGACGTAAGAGATACAGGGTTGATCCCTGGTTTGGGAAGATCCCCTGGAGGAGGGCATGGCAGCCCACTCCAGTATTCTTTCCTGGAGAATCCCATGGACAGAGGAGCTTGGCAGGCTACAGTCCATGGTGTTTCAAAGAGCCAGACACGACTGACGCGACTTAGCGCACAGAGCAACCCCCATCAGCATCCTAGCTGTCTTTCTGTAGAGATTGACACACTGATCCTGTAATTCCTGTGGAAATGCAAAAGACTCAGAGTAATCCAAACAATCTTGAAAAAGAACAAAATTGGAAAAATACCATTTTCCAGTATCAGAGCTTTAGCTACAATAATCGCTCTGGTGCTAGCATAAAAATAGATGCACAGATCAATGGAATAGAGTCCGGAAGGTGAACGTTTACATTTTCTGTCAATTGATTTTCAACAAAAATGCCAAGAAAATTCAATGAGGAAGGAATAGTGTTTTCAACAAATGATGCTGGGACAAAAGAATGAAGTTGAAGACATTCCTTATACCACATACAAAAATTAGCTGAAAATGAATCATAGGCTTAAGTGTAAATGTCAGTGCTATATTATAAAGCCTTGAGAAGAAAACATAGTCATAAACCTTTATTAACTTGGATTAGGTTCCTTAGGTACAACACCAAAAGGACAAGCAACAAAAAAGTAGACAAACTAGAATTCATCAAAATTTAAAATGTCTGTGCCTCAAAGGACACCATCCAGAAAATGAAAAGACAGCCACTGCCGGGGTCCAGCCCCAGCAGGATCCAGGGGAGCCCTCAGGATGAACAGTGTCGGCGAATGAGAGAGAGAGACAGTGAGACAAAGCTCGGGGCTGAGTCTGGAGTTTATTTCTGCACGGCCCCTTTATACCCTCAACAACGTCTTTTTGGGGGAAGTGCGTATTGCTTACACACAGGTCATCTCAAAACATTACAGTAACTTGACCTTCAACAGAAACAGGATGTCACCCACATACTTTTCGTTCACAAGAGTCTTTCTTATCATTTGGCCTTCAGGCCTGCTAACATTTTATGGCTTGCCCCTGGTGTGACTTAAGCAACTTCAGTAGCCGGCCCTGTTTTTCTTATGATTAATCTATTTTCTTTCTAATTGGTGTCATCTCTATGGGAACTAGATAGGATTACATTTTTACAGAAGAGAAATGCAAAAGATTGCAAAAACAGCAGATATAGCACAAAACAGGCTCTTAGTCTAAAAGTTAACTACCTGCAAGAAGTCACCAGCTAATCTCCATCTAAAATATTTTCTATTAGGCACATTTGTGGCTATCATATTTGTGGAGCTTTTCTCACCCCGCGGAGGGACCTATGCTTAATAGTTTCTTTTGTTAGCGTACTATGCTTAGGATGTTTAGAACAATCATGAGCATTTTTTGCAATGAGAGCACACATTTATCAAACAAGCCAGAATGCCAGCAAAAGGGTTTGAATTGAAGCATTTCCTTCATCCCTGGCCACTTCATAGGGTACCAGTGTCCAGGAGATTTATTAATTAGCGTTTTAAGTTGGTCTTTATTCAGTGAAAGAGGAGCAGGAGAACTCTCGGCAGGCAACACAAGAATCTGCAGCAGGGCAAACAAGAACAACAACAGAAAAGGGAGGAGGATACAGGGTGGGGTAGAGAGGAGGATACAGGGTGGGGCAGAGGCCGAGGCCAACCTGGAGAGTCCCTTATATCCTGAACGGCCCTTGCGTGTCAGGTTTTTTCCTCATGACCTTGTCATGGATGGGATCCTGGATGGCCTTGCCTGTCAGGTATTTTCTTCATGATCTCGTCATGGGTGGGATCTCTCACAACGGCTCCGGCAAGCTACAGAATGGGACAAGACATTTGCAGCCCATGTATCTGTTACAGGACTTGTATCCAGATTATATTAGGAACTCTTAACTACTCAACAATAAAAAGGGGGACTTCCCTGGTGGCCAGTGATTAAGATTCCACACTTCCAGTGCAAGGGGCACAGGTTCAACCCCTGGTCCAGGAATTAAGATCCCATGTTTTCCTGGTGTTACCAAAATTTTCTTTTTAAGGCATAAACAATAAAAAGGTAAATAACTCCAATTTGAAAATGGGCAAAGAATTTGATAGAAATTTCTCCAAAGATGATGTACTAAAGGCTAAACATCGTTAGTCATCAGGGCATTGCAAATCAAAGTAACTATTGGATACCAGTGAACACCCACCAGGATGGATGGCTAAAATTTAAAAGGACAAATGTTGGGAGGGAGATGGACAAATTGGAACTTTCCCATGTTACTGGTGGGATAATGAAATGGTGTAGCCACTTTACAAAACAGTTTCTCAAAAAATGAAATACAGAGTTACCAAATGATGTAGCAGTTTCACTGCTGCGTATACTGCCTATATGCATATACTGCTGTATACTGCATTTCACTGCTGTATATACTCAGAAATGAAACTATGTCTAAACAAAGTACACAGATATTCATAGTGGCATTTCATCATAGCCAAAAAGTGGAGACAACCCAAGAGTCCAGCACAGATGAATGGATCATCAAAATCATGGTTTGTCTGTATAATAGAATTATGTTCAGCAATAAAAAGGAATGAACTACTGAGATATCCTTCTACATGGATAAACCTTGGAAAAATGCCAAGTGAAAGAAGATAGACACAAAACACATACTGTTATGATTCCAGTTATCTGAAGTGTCCCGAATAGGCAAATCCATAGAAACGGTAAACTAGTTGTTGCTAAGGGCTGGATAATGAGAGTAATTAATAATGGTTACAGGCTTTCTTTTTATGATAATGAAAGTGTTCTGAAATGAGATGGTAGTGATAGGTACACAAGTATGAATATCCTTGAAAACTGACTTATATGTGAATTGTGTCTCAAAACTTTTGAAAAGTTAAAATGAGCTGATCTTAGAGCAAAAATATATGATCTCTTATCTTTATGTCCATGTATACTTCTTTCATTTATCTAATTTCTCTGATTCTAATAGCCATTAGGCTTGAGCTTGATATACCCAAGTGAAAGTAAAAGTTAGTTGCACAGTCGTGTCCAACTCTTTGCGATCCCATGGACTGCAGCCTACCCAGCCTCTCTGTCCATGGAATTCTCCAGGCGAGAGTACCGAAGTGGGTTGCCATTTCTTTCTCCAGGGAATTTTCCCAACCCAGGTATCGAACCCGAGTGTCCTGCATTGCAGGCAGATTCTTTACCAACTGAGCCACTAGGGAATCCATATAGCCAAAGGGCAAAACAAAAATAATTTTTTTCAAATGTTTTATCAGTAAATATTTGTTAGCCAGGATTTCTAAACATAGTGATTCATTTATCATTGCAGTTAAATTATGACCCAATTGTAGATTTCTAAATTAACATGTAAATGTTAGGGTTACATTAAGATATTTTGTTTGGTTAGCATTTTAGCCCACAGTACTTCTTTTAATGGTTGCTTTTTTTTGGGGGGGGTAGGAGAGAGTCAGAAAGAAGAAACCATTCATTAGCTCGGCATGCAGACATCCTCGCTGCTGTTGAAACAAGGCTGTCATTATTAAATATGACTTTCATGAAGTATGTGGACTCCAATCTCTGTTGCTTCATCCCAGGAAAGGTAAAATAGAATTGCTTACCTAGTAACAGCTGGATTGAACTGTGTAAGCTTTAAATTACTATGAAGTTACAAAGTGATTTTTTTAAATGACAGAATCACTTCTACTTCTTTGGTCATCTGTGAACTCAGTAGTCACAATATTAAAGGGTAAGTTGTATAGATAATTGTGGGCTTTTGACTTTTTTTTTTTTTAAATTTTGGCCACCGTGTGAGGCATGAGGGATCTTAATTAGTTCCCTGAGCAGGGATTGAGCCCATGCCCCCTGCTTTGGGAGTGCAGAATCTTAACCAGTGAATTGCCAGGTAAGTTCCATTGCTACTTCTTTGGGTAGGTTTCTAGGAATGGATTTGTTTAGCTTCTCTGCAATAACTTATATAAATATATATATCATTTATGTGATCTGTATACTTAAAATTATGATTATGAAATATGCTATAGAAGCCCTACTGTTCTTCAGGAAAGCTTTTTAAGGGTCCATACGCAAAGAAAAAATTTGAAGCTTTTACTTTTTGTAAAGATGCCAGAGATACAGCAATGAGCAAGAATAGGTATTGTCTCTACCTTCAAGATTGTTACATTTTAGGGAGGGGGGTTGGGAGAGACAAGCTGGTTTTGTTTTGTTTGAGAAATATTTCATGAAAACAACTTACAAAACTTCCAGATTCAACAAGAATAGATAATTACTGTATAGCAGTATACTCTTGGCTAAGTAATAGTGCTGTTTAACACAGAAAAAAGTTTATTGTGGTGTATTTAATGTGACTAAGTGAATCAAGGACCCAGAGTTCAACATGCTGCTCATACCTTCACTAATACCTTGCTTCTTGAATTGAGTGTAAATTCAGAATGAAATAACTTCAGTATCTTTTTATGTGAAAGAGATGGAGGTAGAATTAAAGATCATTTTGCTACTTAGCTGCTACTGGCAAAAGGTTCCCTTAACATGGTTGGAACTAATTAATACTTAGTAAAATTTGAATGCTTTCTTTTTGTTATTTCCACTGATAATTAACATTGGCAATATTGTATTACTTTCTTCATTTTCAATATACTGTAATGTTTGTTGGGAGCCAGAGGAGTCCTGTTTCTTATTTAAAGTATTCTTCGGTGTAGCTCACTTTCCTCATATTAGTTACTGATGTTTTTCTATAAAAAGATGACCAGTTAGAAACTTTAGATTCTAATTATTAGGCCAGATTTTATTCAGGTCTAATTCATAGGTCTTAATTCTTGATGTTCACTGAACTAGAATAGGTTGTCTCCTATAGCCTCATAGTTTCTATTGCATATCTCATAATGTTAAGATTATGAATATTTAAGACACCTCTCTAAGTTTCATAACCTCAAGAGACAATTCAACCAGTTATTGTTAATGAGAGCTGAATAGCTTGTGTCAAAGTCCATATGCCCTGCAAAGCCAAAGGTATTTTAGTACCTAACCTTTACAGAAGTTGTCTATCTGTTGTTCTAGTTGATCAAGATCATGTGATTGAAATGATATTTCCTGTCTAAACAAATGAGGTTAAATTCAGTTGAGTCTTGCTATTTTTTTTGGAAACCACTTGTTTTCTCTTTTAATTCTAGTACCAACTGAGGTGGTAGCAGTGGAGGATGTTTTCAGTTTTGAAGCTTATGTGTTTCCCCTTGGGCATTTGCTCCTTAACTGAGACCTTTACCCTACCTGCAGTGGAAAAGTCTTCCATTTTTCCTTAATATTACCCATTTCTTCACAAGATCTTATCCTAATTTATTTTTCTCTGACAAGTCTGAACTGGGAAAACAGCTCCCAAAAAACAAATAAATTTTGATTATCACTTTGGTTTATTCTGCCATCTTTATATTTTGCTTAAATCAACACTGTATACTTAGATTACTACTTTGTATTTTTATGTAGCTGGTACTTTTTAGCTTAATTAAGCTAAGTCTAAACTGCTAACTTAACATAGTTTGCAATGTTTGGGTTGTTTTATCATTGTTCTTTTTTGAACTTTCTCATCCTTAAACGTTCATATTCTATCTTCAGGACATAAGGATATGGCATTAAGTTTCACATCCTTAAGTGAAGATATTCTATGAAATACTTTTCTTTCAGTTTAGCATATAATCTTGATTTGGTATATGATTTCTATAGTAGTTTATTCTTGGTTTCCCCAGCATCTTGCTCCTGGGTTCATTTCACAAATTAGTTTTTACAAGTTATTTAAGTGAGTCTGGGTAATGGCAATGAATTTAAATTAGATTGCCTGATATATAGCAGAATTTTGGACCTTTAAACTAACAGTTGGGGGAAGAAATTTTTTTTAATTATTCTCTGAAAGAACAATCAAATTCGTTTGTAAAATTAAATGGTAGGATGAAGATAGAAGATTAAATGTATGTTTATCTCTTAACTTCTCCCCATACTCGACTCAGTGGAGTAGAGTAAATGATATAATTTTTAAAAGGAAGAAAAGATAAAGCCCCATGAAAAGGAGGTCAATAGAGTAGACAGTAGCAGCAGAATTTTGAAAGTTGGAAAGTAGATGAACAAATGATAACTGACTTAGAAGAACTGAGGAAGTTAATTCCTAACCTGGCAGTGAGGGAAGCTGGAAGTCAGTGTAGTATGCACAGCTGAACCTCTAAAAAATTCTAGAGTTGAAAGCACTTCTGAAAATGGGGCTAAAACAGAGAGGTTGGTTGAGAATCTATATTTAGGAATCACTTAAATCTGTAGGTCCCCTCTCCAACTCCAAACAAACTAGATCATTGCCCTTCTACCCAGTGAAAATCTAAGGCTTATTCAAGGGAGGGGTTTAAAATGGAGCCTCTTGACAAGGAAGCCATACAAACAACAAAGGCATTTAAAGATCTGTCTAAAGAATTCAGACTGGTTGGGAGTTTGCCACTAGAGCTCTGGGAAGGATCAGCAAACTTTTCTGTAAAGGGCCAGGTAATAAATATTTTTGACTTTGTGGACCACATGGTCTGTGTCATGTCATGGTCTGTTTCTCAACTGAGAAACAGCCATGATTCTACATGTGGTAAATGAATGGGTGTGCTCATGTTCTAATAAAAACCTTATTTACAGAAATAGGCACAGGTCAGTTAGGGCCATAGTTGCAGACTCTGACCACTGTATTGATGTTTCATTTATCTTGTCTCAGAATCAAGTATAGATTCTTGGCTTATTCCTATATATATTTCTCAAATCTTCTATCTGACATACAGAAGTCAAACTTTTTATAGTAAATTCTTGATCAATATCAGCAGTTCACACAAACTGAAAAACACATGGAGCAGAGGCCAACTAACCATTCCAGGAGATATAATAATGAAAAAAGACATGAATAATTTCTTTTCTTCATTGTTACTAACAGCCCTAGTAACCCTTTTGTGCTTATTGAAAAACAGTGGTCTCCAAAAGTCCATGCTTTCACGGTATAATTGTCATGAAGCTAGAGTTCCCTAAAAGAACTTAAAATCTATAGATTTTGTATTGCTGGTTTGTTTTTAATAATGTTTTGGGGAGGGGGCGGAACTGGTGATGGTCACTTTATTCTTTTTTTGAGGGGTAACTTTCTTTTGATGCAATTTCACATTTACACAAAAATTACAAAAAATATGACAAGGAATTCCTGTATTTCTTTTATCCAGATCAGCAATTATTTACCTTTTGTCTCATTTGCTTTTGTTCTCTCTCTGCATATGTTTTATTTTTCGGAACCTTTTGAAGAAAAGTTGGAGATACTGTGACCGTATATTCTGAAATATTTCAGTGTATTCCCTAAGAACTAGGACATTTTCCTACTTAACCACAATACAGATAACAAGCTCAGGGAATTTAAAATTGATCCAATACACTGAACAGCAGTCCATATTCAAGTTTCATTTCTTATTCCAATAATAGTTTTCCTAGCTATTCTTATTTCTGAGTCCAGAATCCAATCTAGGATCACACATGAATTTGTTAGTCCTCTTTAATGTAGAATAATTCCCTACACCTTGTGTTTCTTGGGCCTCAAATTTTTGAAGGTCATATAGATCAGTTACTTTGAGGAATAAATATCCTTCAATTTGAGTTTATCTAATGTTTCCAGAATGTTGTATTTTTTTTCTTTTAAAATTGGTTTTAGTGTGAAGACATTCTTAAAAATAACTCTTGCTTAGAAACATTTCCTCCTTTCATTTTGCTGGTCCTCAAGTAAATACATGCAGTCATTGAACCTTTAAAATGAAGAAAGAATTAATCTATTTTCATTGAATTTTTTAGGTCCCTGTTCTTACACCCCTAAACTCTACCTTTCCCACCTAGTTTGGCTAACTAGGAAATCTGATCAGCTTTTTATGTGCTGCATTTTTAAATATAAGCAAGGAGTAAAGAATCACCAGGCTAATAAGAAACACAAAGTAAAACAAGTGGAGAACAGAAGACCTTTGAGAAAGCAGTTCAAGGATATAAAACTTGAACGAACTATGACTAATAGTCTAAGAGAAATATTAATAAGAAAAATACAGACAAACACATGCCATATAAAGAATTATTCACAAATATGGAAGAAAAAATAAAAGAGGTGAGAGGAAAATTAAGGAAATCTCAAGTGGAGCAAAGAGAAGGAAATGGCAACCCACTCCAGTATTCTTGCCTGGAAAATTTCACGGACAGAAGAACCTGGTGGGCTACAGTTCATGGGGTCACAAAGAGTCGGCCATGACTGAGCACATCAGCAAGTGGAACAAAAAGAAACAGAAAATGAGAACATACAAGGTTCAGTATTCTAATGGGAGCTTTGTTTGCTAAGGGCATCTCTGGTAGCTCAGCTGGTAAAGAATCCTCCTGCAATGCGGGAGACCTGGGTTCAATCCCTGGGAGGGGAAGATCCCATGGAGAAGGGAACAGCTACTCACTCCAGTATTCTGGCCTAGAGAATTCCATGGACTTTATAGTCCATGGGGTCACAAAGAGTCAGACACAACTGAGCAACTTTCACTCACTTGCACTACTTTGTTTGCTAAACAGTAAATAAGAGAAATTCTCTCATCTATAATAGTTGAAAACCTTAAATGATGTTCATAGTAAGTCGTTTATTACTGTGCCAATTTAAACCTAAGCATGATAGAGTAAACTGTATTTACTGGGAATGTGATGGTTGTTCACATTTGGTTTCTTACCATTCTTTCTTAAACTTAAAAATATTTTTCACAAGTATTAATTATCTCTAGTATTCAGCAGAGGCATATTACTTGAAAAGTGTGTAAATAGCCATTAAAGAGTTTCAGTGACCTGCCTAAGACCTGTGGCCTTCACACTGGATACAAGACTCAAACCTTTACATTCTTGTTGCTGAAGTAATTTTCAGAAAGTGATTAAACCTATTCAGAAAATGAAATATTTTAAAAATCAGGTAAACACTGTGCTTTCTTAACATGTACCTCTACAACCATTTTAGCCACTGATGACTGAATGCTCGAAGCAGTCTGGTTCTAACATGCTGTCTTTCTTTACCTTGTCCTTGGCTTGTAACTTTTGGACACAGGAAAGAAAATGTTTTTAATTTTATTGATAACATGGATTGGATGAGTCCATTTAATTAAAGTAACCTCTATGTAGTAAGATTTAAAAACACTAAATTTCCTAATAGAACACTTAGGCAAAGGGAAAGAGATACACCGTGCTTTCATACTGTATTTAGAAGACTGAATACAGTAGATAAGAATATTTCACACTTTGGTTTACAGATGTCATTTAGCATTAGTAATCCCTATGCAATATTTTGATATGAAATTAATTCTGAAGAATCAGGGTTATGGAAGAGGATTCACTACATAATTTATTTTAAAAACCTAGAATAAATGTATGGTACATAATAAAGTGTTAGTTGCTCAGTCGTGTCTGACTCTTTGCGACCCCATGGATTATAGCCCACCAGGCTCCTCTGTCCATGGGATTCTCCAGGTAAGAATACTGGAGTGGTTTGTCATTTCCTTCTCCAGGGAATCTTCCCAACCCAGGGATCAAACCCCGGTCTCCCGCATTTCAGGCAAATTCTTTACCAACTGAGCTACCAGGGAAGCCCATGGTGCATAATAACACTACATACATTTTTATTTCCTAGCCAACTTCTCACTGCAGCATTCCTCCTTTAGTCATGTACACCCTCCTCCTGCTCAAACTTCTCTTCTCATTGAAATTCTGCTTATTTCTCATTGCCAAGTCCTTCATTAGGCCTACTCCATCCTCAAACAAATCTTATCCCTTTCTACTTCCTTTTTCACACAATACTATGTTTGTACATTGAACTTATGAGTTTGAACTAGTCTTTGCTGTGTATGGGTCTTTCACTAAGTCATCTTGCATAGGTTAAGATGTATGTCCCATTCATGCTTGAGTCATTGTAACAGTCATATCTAGTCTAAGTCAAACATACTGTAAATATTCTTCTGTCTACCAGTATTTATGTACATAATTAACTAGGTCCATTTGTCCTCTCAGTAAAAATTCTCTTAACAATGACCTTTGTATTCAAAACAAAATCTAGCCTCTAAAATCATATTCTTGTATTGACTTTAACCTTGTGTCTTGTCCCTGAACAGTTTTATTTAGATGTGTCAATATTAGACAGTTATGACCATCTTTATCACTCATTTAATGAATGTTGATTAGGGTGTCTGCTATGTGCCAGATACTGCTAGGCTGTGGGGATCTGACAGTGGAAACTAGGTATGGTCTCTTCTCTCATTGAGCTTACTATGTTATGAGAAGAAGAAATTAACAGAAAAAGGTAGTACTTAAACCTTGTAATGTGTATTCTGAAGAAAAAATAAAGGATTTGATGAAGATATTAACATACTTAAACTGAAAGAAGGTTCAGAAAAGACTGCTTACTCTGAGAAAGTGTTACTGAGACCTCAGGTGTGAATAAGAAACTTGGGGCTGGAGAAGGCAGGGGAGATAATGCAGGGAGAACATGACAGAAAGGAGATCATAATGTGCAAAACCCTGAGCAGCAAAGAGAGAGGGTCTGCTTTAGGTCAGATAGCTGAGGGCCACTTCGTACCTGTAGGTGGGCTGTACTAGCACTGAGGACGACGTCACATAACACTGGAGTGTTGCAATGCTTCTCATGTTATAACACACATGTAGCGCACTATGGATCGGTTAACATCCTGTCACCAATAGATTCTTTGTAGTAGAACGTGACAAACTAGTAATATGAAGGACTACTACGAAAGTATATAAGTGTATATTTTGTAATTCACCATTTTCTTATATATCATATATATATGACATATATATATATCATTATATATAAATATTAGGTAATTTTTTTAGCCCCAGAACAGTAAGTATTCTTAATAAATATAAATATGAAACATATATAGTATTATAACAAGCCCAAAGCCAGTTGTTACAGGTGGTAATGTTACCAGAGGTCAGTATATCAGTTAAGTCACCCTGTAGATCTCTGTAGAATTTGCAAAACAAGTAGTCACCTTACTCTCTGTTTACCTATTTTCTTTAAAAAAAAATAAAGTGCTAATGAGAGCTCATTATTTTAGGTGATTGATGAGATTTATCGTGTGTTGAGATATGTCAATTCTACCAGAGCCCCTCAGCGAGCTCATGAAGTACTTCAAGAGTTAAGGGATATTTCCTCCATGGCAATGGAGTACTTTGATGAAAAGATTGTTCCAATTCTAAAGAGGAAATTACCAGGATCAGATGTATCTGGAAGACTCATGGGCTCTCCTCCAGGTATCTTTTGTTTATAATACTTTCAGTTTATAATCATGTTCATACATAGGTTTGTAACTTGCCTTTTTTTCTCCCACTTAACTGTGTATCTTGAACTTGTTTGGGTCTGTAACTATGTATCTGTAGCATCATTTTTAATGACAGATTAGATTACAGACCATATCTTACATAGTTCATCCACTGCTGTTATGCACATTTGTCTCCAGGTTTTTCAGTATTTGAACCACACTGAAGAACAATCTTGTGGCTGAATCTTTGTACATATCCACAATTTTTAACTGGACATAAATTTGTTAGAACAATTTTTAGTAAAACATTTGTTTCGTTCAGATTAGTTAGCTCCGTGGAGTACTCAGTAGAGTGAGTGGCTGTCTGTAATTTAATAATAAAACTTATGGCATCTCAGCATTAATATATCTATTACTTATTGAGTACTTACTATGCAGACAGCACTATACTGTGTCCTATGAAGACTAAAAAGAAATGTAATACATGGTATCTGCTCTCAAGAATCTTATTATTTCATAGGGTAAGATGTAATCATGACTCAAATTATTGCAGGCAAGAGAATAGTTTAAAGGAGTGTCCATTTACATGCCAAATGAGTAGAGAGAAAATCTTAAGGAAGATAAGATCATTGTTGGCTGGTCTGATTGAGACTTCACAAGAGGTGAGAACTGGTCTGAGCCTTGTAGTTGGGTAAAGGTAAGCTGAGAAAGAACAATGTATCAATCAAGGAAAATATTCTGGTTATTTAAATGTGTGAGGAGAAAACTAACAAGATGGGTTTTAGGGTGCAGATGGATCCATATGATTCTTTTAGAAAAGCTTCAGAGATAAGGTTAAAAAAAAAAGCAGGTTATATAGTGATTTTTATGCCCATGGTACATTGTTATTCCTGAAACAGAATAGTTCCAAAGCCTTCCTAAATCTTGTCAGAAGTTCTTCCTGATCATTGAGTGTGATGTAACCCTTTGTGGTGGTATCCCAATTGTTTGGCTAATGTTGAGACCAAATATTCAACTAAGTGCAGAGAGGACTTATAAACCAATAGGTCTGTGCTTCTGACTCAGATATTTATGATCCTTGTGTGTAATAAGAAAGAAAGTAATTCTACTCTAATTTTACATTTATATTTTCTTAACTAGGTTCTAAAAAAGCTTTATAATACTTTAAAATCCAAGTTAACACCGCTGGACACTCTGCTTTTGCTGGCAATCCACATATTGCCACATGAACATGAGAATCAGAATTCAGACTCATTTATAGTTAAGACAAAGTATTTGATTAATTCATTAGACCAAGTAGGTTGCAAAGAAGAAATCTGCAGAGGTGATGTTACTAAGGACATTCTATGTTTGAAGAAATCTCATTAATGGAGTATTACCGGTGGTGAGCCATTGAAGTGACTGACCCTTTTAAACCATTTCTCCACAGTTCCAGGACCTTCTGCAGCCTTGACTACAATGCAGCTCTTCTCCAAGCAAAACCCTTCAAGACAGGAGGTTACCAAACTCCAGCAGCAGGTTAAGACAAATGGTGCTGGGGTGACTGTTCTCAGGCGTGAAATTTCTGAGCTTCGCACCAAAGTGCAAGAACAGCAGAAACAACTTCAAGACCAGGACCAGAAACTTCTAGAGCAGACCCAGATCATAGGTGAACAGAACGCACGGTTGGCAGAGCTGGAGCGCAAACTGCGAGAAGTAATGGAAAGCGCAGTGGGTAACTCCTCAGGGTCTGGGCAAAGCGAAGAGTCTCCTCGGAAACGGAAAAAGGCCGCGGAAGCCATAGACTCTCTTAGGAAATCTAAACGTCTCCGGAATAGAAAGTAAATCAGAATGTGCTTCTAGCGTCAGAGGAAGACCTGGCTTTGTAGCTTGACCAGTTCTGCGTATCTGGACACTGTGCGACATGGTGTCCGTCAGCTCTAGGCTTTCAGAACACAACTTAAACTTGAACTCTCATAGTTGGGACTTTTTTTTTTTTCCTGCTTCTCCTCGTTGAACTGATGCACAGAATCTTTTTACTTTGCAATAGATTTATACTAACCAGACCTATTCTATCATGTTTTGAGAAGTTAACCTTTTTTTTGTGCAGATAATGTTTAAAGCAAATTTGTTTCTGCATATATGCACATTACATAAGGATCTTAAACCAGTCTTGACAGACTAGAAACTAAGTTTAATACAGAAAATGTCCTGTTCACTTGAAAGAAAAGACCTACTTTTTAAATGGACAGTATCTTGTTTTTAAAAAAAAAAAGTTGACTTTTTGTTATAAGTGACCTTTGTCTGGAATGTCTGAAAAGTAGTAAATGCTTTTTGGTATTGAAGTAATGGGTAACTAAAACGGACTTCCATAGTATCGACTGTAGAAGGGCCTCTACAGTATTGACTATATATTTTTATAAACTACTGGCAAGGGACTTATCCAGCTGTTATATACATGTTTTCAGTTCTCTTTTGGGGCCATGACCTACATCTGCATGGATGCATGCATGCATTGCCTAGTCAACTCACTTAAAAAAGCTCTTGCACTGGTATTGATCTTGAACCTCTGTACTTCTCCACTTTTTAGAGCAGTGTCTTAGTTCATTTAAGCGCTTAACATCTTCCACCACAACAGCTTGCTTTGGTGGGTGAGGGGGAGTGGTATTTGTATGTCCATTTGTCCTCCAGTTTTACAGAATAAGAGAGTATTAAAGCCCGCTGCTTTAGCTATTCTCTGTAGGGTTCAGGTACACTGGCTAAGACAGAACCCCAAATTCTTTATGTTGATATCAGACCTCTGGTAACTAATACTATTCCTTACTCACCACTGTGTATGCGCATTGATCCAATGTGGCCATGACCAGTGGTGTGAGTAGGGAACCCAACCTATGGGATGCAATTGTTTTGCCATTGAAAAACAGTTCATTGAAGAAAATTATACTATGAAAAAGCATTTTGATTGTTTCCTTTCTGGGGGGGGTGACCTGAGGGAAGCTTTTTAATGTTAATTTCAGGCTTTCCTTATCCTTCACTTTCAACAAAAGCTTTAATTTCATTTGCACTCCTGTTTTGAGCTTGTAACTGGAAAAGCATGTCTTGCACTGTCAAGCTTCTAAGTGGTCACTTTAACAACTGTACAGTGATTATTTTCCCCAGTTGTGTATTTTTGAAACAGTCAACTATTACTGTCTAGTTCTATTTTAATGTACTAAATTATGTAGTCATTATTTGACTGTTAAGTTAAACAACTGTTGCCTTGGGCTTCAGTTATTTAAGGTAGACTTAGGTGTAATATAGAATACTATCCCTTTCCAGGCGGGAGTTTGACACCTTTATAAAACCTAAGGTTTTGGTAAGTACCTTAGTTGAAGAAAAGCACAAGGTCACTACCTTTTTTTAATCCGTCCAACATGATATGGTTATGCATCCTTGAGATTACACCAAGTGAAACTTCTTATCCATTTTCAATATTGTCCTTAACATAATAGTGTCCTTAGATTTTGATCAGTTCTTTGTCTAACATTAAAACTCCATTTACAATGTAGTTATGTTTTCAATGAAAAACCATAAAATAACGTCCAAGTGTTTTCATGGTTTGTTGGGAAGGTAATTTTAAAATAAACAATTTCCAAAAAACATTTGTCAGCCAAGATCATCCATAAAAGTCCCTGTCTGGAACTCATTTTCTCAGCAGTTCTCATTTCTTTAGTCATAGGATTTAGCCATATTATCACAACTTTGGAGGAGGCCTACTGGAATACTTACTCATGGCCTTTAATAGTCTGCTTTCCTGGTAATACGAAGATGTTTTTAATTAACAAAGTACATGTTTACAGGTTTATAAAGTATGATCTTTATGCATCAAAGGGATATAACCTCAGATGATCTTTTTTAATAATTATTTAAAGTTTCCTGGGTTTCTTTTTAAACTCCATCTAGATACCCTAAATGTATCTACAGTCTTAGTTAACATGAATATTTGGCTTTCATAATAAACATTCACACTATTAAAAGATAGATTTTCTGTTTCAAAATCCAAATTTCTACAATATACACTTGTAATCATCTGCCCATAAATTTTATGAGTTGCACTTGTTAATGGGTGAATGTGGCATAACAGTAGGAAATAAAGCACTACAGTTGTTTTAAATCTTAAATCTTAACTAGCTAAAATGTGTTAGGATATTGCCTTGGCCAGTTTGATAGCCTTTATATGTGCATTTGGGTAGTATAATGGTATTTAAGTGTCAACACATCACAAAATATTTCCATCACCTAAAACTGACATACGTTTCAGGAAAATTGTAAGTTAGCAACTCGAGAGAGAACTCTCTTACTCTGGATTGTAGGTCAGTAATTTAAATGCTGTATGTTAATACTATGTTAATATGTTAAATATTAGGACATTTCATAAAGTATTCCCATCATCTTCCTCGGCTGGTCTTTCAGAGGATACTTAAAGTTGTCCCACTTACAAATTGATCGCAACACTACAGACATAGATAAAATGTGGAAGGGCGGATGAAAAACGGAAAGGACGGCCGCCCGCCTGCTCACCCCCAACAGGAGTCTCTGCTTGTTTCCCTCGTGGACTTGGTTTTCACCTATTCTGAACTAGGTATTATTTTAGAACATGAGGATATAGAACCTGTTGTTTCTTAAGCTCTTATTTTGATATACAGAGCCTGGAAATAAGGACAAACACAAATGTAATCAGAGTAATCATACTGTTTTAAAAACTTGGGGTGCCATCAGGTCTAAAACCACTGGTTTTGGAAGCAACATTTTTTTTTTTTTTTTTTTTTGTAAAACATGTTTTTGGAGTACTGAACTTTACAGGGGCTTGCCTTAATCTCTATTTAGTAGTTTCAAGATATATGTGCTATTATTCTACTTGTTAAAATATTCTATGTAGCCCCTAAGGTGGGTAAGACAGAGTATAAGTAATGCTTAAATAAATAAGCTGAAAGGTGTCACTACAGCTGGATTTTTGAGAGAAAATGGACATATGAACATAGGCTATGTGTAATAAAAATAATGGCACCTTAAGATTGCACTATTTTATGCATTATTTTATATGCCATTTCATAGCCTGCACTTTAATCTCCAAAGAAACGATGTGTGATGTCCCAGTTGTTCCTTATTAATAACTGTTTCCTAAGACAGGGCACTTAATTCTATTTTACTATGCCGAAGTAGTTTCTTGGAGGTAAATTCCTCTTTTGAGTTCTCTATTTCCTTAGCCATAATATTTTCTAGGATCTAGGAACTCCCTATCTTATTTCCAGCAGTATATGATTTAATTTAAAATCTCATACTTGGTGATCAGCACATTCTTAATATACCACTCTAGCAATGAGTACCCATTTGTTAACACCAAACCTTCTTTAAAATAATCATACATTGTAAGTAAGATATGAAGCCAGGAATAAAGGCATTCTGCCTTGTATGATGCAATCTCTTGAAAATGGCTGTTCCTAATGTAAAATCCAATACATTCAGTGATTTGGCTTGGGATCTGAATCTCTTTCACTAGTCCTCAAAAGGTTAATAAGAACTACTTCAAAAAGCTCTGTAGCCTGCCATCTTGAGATTAGTTATTTTCAAGAAATACTATATAATCTACAAAATGAAATTAGCAATTAGTTGACTGCTGCCTACCATGAGTTTATTTTTAATGGCAATATATTTATATTTGTGATAAATATGATAGGCTTAAGTAATGGCCTTTTCCAGCTTCCTAAGAATCTTTGTTAAATTTCTGAAATTCAAACGTCAAAAATTGAAATTTTTCCTGTTGTGTTTGAAGAGAACCATGAGATTTAGAAGCATATTGGTAATCTATTAGGTCCATTGCCAAAGTAGATACTGGTCCGTATTCAAAACTATACCTAAAATTAGATGCGTTTAAAATTCCTTTATGTCGTGCCATGTCTGTTTACTTATGGTCATGAGCAACAATAAATTACAATAGTTTATCTTCTGGAATTTTAATTGTTATAACCTAATTTAATTACTGGAAAGTGAAAAACACCTCCCGGTCACACAACAGGGTACGTAAATAAATGTGTTGTTACCAGTGCTACTTGTTTTCTTTGTATTTCATACACAGAAGATTACAGAGACATCTTAAATGCCATCTTAATAGCTACCACCTCTTAAAAGCAGTTTATTTTGTTATTTTAATCCTCACAGCCGCTTTATAAGTGCTTCCCTGGCAGCTCAGCTGGTAAAAGAATCCACCTGCAATGCAGGAGACCCCAGTTCGATTCCCGGGTAGGGAAGATCCATCCCCTGGAGAAGGAATAGGCTCCCCACTCCAGTATTCTTGGGCTTCCCTGGTGGCTCAGATGGTAAAGAATCTGCCTGCAGTGTGGGAGACCTGGATTCGATCCCTGGGTTGGGAAGATCTGGAGAAGGGCATGGCAACCCACTCCAGTATCCTTGCCTGGAGAATTCCCAGGGACAGAGGAGCCTGGAGGGCTACAGTCCACAGGGTCACAAAGAGTCGGACACGACTGAGCGACGGAGCACAACACAGCAGCTGCTTTATAAAGCAGGTTTCACTGTCTATAAGGAAGTTAAACTGAGGTTAAGCAACATAGCCACAATGTCACCTACATGTGACTTGATCCCTGCCTCCAAAGCTTATGTATTCCTGTTATACTGCTACATTCTAAAATGTCTGGGAGCTGTGGGACTCCAGTTACACTACTTCTTCAAATTCTGTAAATACATAGATTTCATGCATCAGAAGCAGTCTATGCCAAAATCACTAATAATGTAATATACAAAGATAAAATCATGGAAAGACTAGGCTTTGAAGAGGCAACTTTTGTCCTGAAGTTTTTTGGCAATGGGTTTACATTAGGCATTTGGGTAAAAAATATTTTTAAGACCTCTGTGTGTGTGTGTTCTTAGTCGCTCAGTCGTGTCCAACTTCTGAGAACCCGTAATCTTAAACAGGAAGTCCTGGTAATAGATGTGGTCAGAGGCCACTAACGCAGTCACTTTATTATAAAGTTGGCTATTGATCAATACAAAAGAAGTAATACCAATTCTCTTGCCCTGCCAGGGAAGAAGACTAGTTCTCTTTTCAAAATTCCTTCTAGCTCCAAAACTAAATATTCAAAATTTCAATGAAATAAAACCATACAAATCAATTTCACCTCTGTTTCACAAAGATGTAACTGATAAGGAATTACTACAAACAAAATGACTGGAAACACTCTTTGAGACAGACTTTACCCACTTTGTTCATAACTTAGATGTTCAAAAAACAGATCACAGATGAATTCATGCTGAAAGATGAGGATGACATCGGTGTTACCAGTTACCCCAACACCCATCACTGCATTCTAATCATCAAGCTATCATAGAAACCTAGAAAAATAAAGACACCTTGTGTCTCTCCCTGTCTTCAGAGGGTGGATTGGGATGGAATTCTTTGTAGCACTCAGGTGGTTCAGTTGTGTAAAAAGCACATTTTGGGAAACAAAGAACTTCACCAGTACTGTTGATTTAAAATTAAAAGGATGTCTCTTTATTTATGGCCTTTCTCATGTTGACTCCTGAAACAGCACTTAGAGGATCCATTAAAGGTGATTCTTTCATCCAGAAAACGTTTTAACATGCTTGTGTTGCTCTGGTGTTGGTGAGTCATTTCCTGAAAGCAAAATCATAGGAAATTGTAAGGAGAAGAAAACAATGTGGATGTTTGAGCACAAAGTACAACTGGAAAGGGAATACAAATCAAGGATGAACTTTCCTCAAATTCAGTCCATTTTGTTCATAGAAAAATATTCAGCCAAAGAGCTTTCAACTTCCTCAAGTCTTAGGTTTCCTTCAATTCTTTTTCCCTGGGTTCTTTGCATTGAACAAAAGTCAGTTTCTACTTGGAATCTGAAGCAGCAGTGTAAATAGTAATACTGGCTCCAGGGATGACCTAAGGTGTGTCTCTCTGTCTTAAGACACAGGGAAAACTTCTGCTAAAACTTCAAGGCTAAACAGAAGATGGGGTGAGGGAATGAGGGAAGAAGGGAAGGGGACCTAAAATGCTTGTTCTTCCTTTGAAGGGTTGCAGCAAGTTTACGAGAAAGTGCCTTAGCTCTCTAGATATCCAGGTTCTATAACCCTAGGTGCTGCCACAGCAGCGGCCTTTCACTCCCAAAGAAAATGCAGTTTGTGTGCGATTAGTCACTCAGTCATGTCCGACTCTGCAACCCCATGGACTGTAGCCCGCCAGGATCCTCTGTCCATGGGGAATTCTCCAGGCAAGAATACCGGAGTAGATTGCCACACCCTCCTCCAGGGGATCTTCCCAATCCAGGTCTCCCACATTGCAGGCAGATTCTTTACTGTCTGAGTCACTAGTGAAGCCCAAGAACATTGGAATAGGTAGCCTATCCCTTCTCCAGGGCATCTTCCCCACCCAGGAATTGAACCAGGGTGTCCTGCATTGCAGGTGGATCCTTTTACCAGCTGAGCTACCAGTGAAGCCCGTGTCTTACTTATAAGAGGATAATAAAGGAATGAATGTCAACGGGTTAACAGCGCTCAGCGCATAATAAGCAGGTAATTAATAATAAATACTGGTTTATACAGGGCAATAGATATGACTAAGGAAATAGAAGTATAGAATATATATTGCATTGGCTACATGTATTTCCTTTAAGTCCTACTTTAAGCATGTTTTTTTTTTTAACCACAGAAAACAATTTGCTATTACAGCCTTTCTAACCTCCTGGAAAAGTTTATTTTTATATTTTAAAACTTTTGCTTTTGATATTTTTAACATTTCACAGGACTTTTTGCATTGCCCCCCAGTACCATCACTTTGCCAACAAAGATCCATCTAGTCAAAGCAATGGATTTTCCAGTAGTCATGTACTGATGGGAGAGTTTGACCATAAAGAAGACTGAGTGCTGAAGAATTGATGCTTTTGAATTATGGTGCTGGAGAAGACTCTTGAGAGTCTCTTGGACAGACAGAAAGGAGATCAAATCAGTCAATCCTAAAAGAAACTAATCCTGAATATTCATTGGAAGGACTGAAGCTGAAGCTTCAATACTTTGGCCACCTGGTACGAAGAGCTGACTCATAGGAAAAAGTCCTGATGTTGGGAAAGACTGAGGGCAGGAGAAGGGGACGACAGGATGAGATGGTTGGATGGCATCATTGACTCGATGGACACGAATCTGAGCAAACTCCAGGAGATAGTGAAGGACAGGGAAGCCTGGCGTCCTGCAGTCCATGAAGTCGCAATGAGTCAGACACAGCTGAGCAACTGAACAACAGTACTTCCTTGAGAGCCACGGGAGAGAAACCCGTCTGGCAGCCCCCATCCTTCTCCACCTTGGGCTGATGGACCTGAAAAGGAAGGAGGACACTGAGCTGCACCTGGTAGAATAAAGAGAGGAGACTCTTCAGAACTTCCTTCACCTTAAGACACAACTTAGAATCAAGCATACATGCTGTGGAACCAGAATTAGTAGGCTCCTATTCCCAGCTAGACCTGTTAGGAGTTATGTAATACCAGCTTGGGTAGTTAATACCTCTGAAACTCAGTTTCATCATCTGTAAGTTACTTTCTACAAAAGTCCAAAGGACTCTGGGAAGAGTGGAGTAGGAGTAGGAAGAACCAAGAATCTGTCTCCCCACCTAGAGAAAAATTACACTGGCAGAACCTGTCTGATGTAATTACTTTGGAACCCTGGAGATCTGTTGATTTGGGCAATAGACAGGGTCCTGTGCTGGGCAAAAAGGAACCCTGTCCCTGCCGTATTCGGGATCTGTGCTCTGATCACTGATTGCTGCTTCTCATCACAGGAGTGCAGATAAAGATGGTGGGAAGCCATTGTGGTACCTCCCTCCATTGTTGCAAGCCTCTCCCCAACCAGCTGAAGTGCCTTCTGAAGTATAAGCGAAAGTGCTAATCACTCAGTCTTGTCCGACTCTTTGCGACTCCATAGACTGTAACCCACCAGGCTCCTCTGTCCATGGAATTCTCCAGGCAAGAATAGTAGAGTGAGTGGGTAGCCATTCCCTTCTCCAGGGCATCTTCCCGACCCAGGAATCAAACCCAGTCTTCCGCATTGCAGGCAGATTTTTTTACTGAGTCACAAGGGAAGCCCTGAGATTTAAAAAGCCAGCACTCCTTTTCCCAACACTCCTTCATCTTTCTCTGTTACCGTCTAAAAGCCACACATTAAAGACTAAGACATTTAACAACCTCTATATGTACAGAGAAAATTAGAAAGTGATGAGGTATGCTGAAGGAAAGGCTCAAATAAAGACGTGAAAGGACATTAAGTTTACCCCTCAGCCAGAGCCTCCACAGAGAGCCTACCACAGTCAAAATAAACATATAAAGATAATTGATTCCCAAAGTCACCGCATTATTAGATTCAAATGTCTAGTTTTCAGCACCACCAACAAAAGCCCACAAGGCATACAAAGAAATAAGACATAAGTATACTTATCAGTATAAGCTTATACTTACAGCCCATTAAAGAGGAAAATATAAATCAACAGAACTGTCCCTTAAAAAGGCCTAATGGCAGATATACAAGACAGACATTTTAAAAGAACTTTTTTGGAGCTGCTCAAAGGGATTTCCCTGGTGGTGCAGTGGATAAGAATCTGCCTGCCTAATGCGGGGGGACATGGGTTCAATCCCTGGTCCAGGAAGGTTCCACATGCCACGGAGCAACAAAGCTCCACAGCTACTGAGCTCACAAGCTGTGACTTCTGACGCCCTTGTACCCAGGGCTTGCACTCCACAACAAGAACAGCCGTCACAATGAGAAGTCCACACACAGCAATGAAGACCCAGCGCAGCCAAAAATACAGAAATAATTATTTTTACTATAAATAAACTTTTTAAAATTAAAAAAAAAGAAAAAAGAACTAGTCTATCACAGACTTCACAAACAAACTTATGGTTACCAAAAGGGAAAGGTGGGGGATTAAATTGAGAGTTTGGGATTGGGGTATAGCCAGAGAACAATAGTTTCAGGTGAATAGCAAAGGAACTCAGCCATACCTACACGTATCCATTCATACCCAAGACAAATGTTTTT